TGTTGTCCCTTAGACACTTTCCAGAATGACAAACCAGTTCCTTTCACCACCTTTGAATGGTTTATCTGTTTTACTGTAGTTGTAACAAACATTGTTTGGAGACACATTTGTCGCAGCCTTTGTTTTCAAGGACTATTCAAACATGCTTCTTAATTTATTTATTTATTTATTTATTATTTGAACTTATATGCCACCACTCCCCTGGGGCTCGGAGCGCCTTACAAGAACAGGCTAAAATCAAACACAATTTAAAAACAATTTAAAACAATTTAAAAACAATCAGAGATCAAAGGCGTCGAAATAGATATGTCTTACATGCCCTGCGGAAAGCTGATAAATCCCGCAAGGCACGGACTTCAGGTGGCAGAGTATTCTAGAGTGATGGTGCCACTGCTGTAAAGGCTCTGCGTCTGGTTGGTTAGACGCAAGGTCTTGATACTGGGAATTTCCAATAGATCTTGGTCCTCAGAATGGAGGGATCTCTGGGGTTGGTAGGGGGTGAGGCGGTCCCTCAGGTACATCGGCCCCAGACCATGCAAGGCCTTAAAGGTGAGTACCATCACTTTGAAAGTGATCCGGTGCTCAATTGGTAACCAATGCAGCTGTAGTAAGATTGGTGTTATGTGGCATCTCATCGGAATTCCCGCAAGAAGCCGAGCAGCTGCATTTTGTACCAACTTGAGCTTCCGGATCACTGACAGAGGAAGGCCAATGTAGACACAAGAGACTATATATTCCACTGATACCTCTTTTATCAGTAAAAAAGAGGAGCCCCCGGTGGCGCAGTGGGTTAAACCCCTGTGCCGGCAGGACTGAAGACCGACAAGGTCGCAGGTTCGAATCTGGAGAGAGGCAGATGAGCTCCCTCTATCAGCTCCAGCTCCTCATGCGGGGACATGAGAGAAGCCTCCCACAAGGATGATAAAAACATCAAATCATCAGGGTCCCCTGGGCAACTCCTTGCAGACGGTCAATTCTCTCACACCAGAAGTGACTTGCAGTTTCTCAAGTCGCTCCTGACACAACAAAAAAATAAAGTAAAAAGAAGCACTTGTAGAAAAGTAGAAAAAAAAACTTGGTGTTTCTGCTCAATTCATTGCAAATGAAACTCACAGCCAAGAGAACTTTTCAGTCCAGCTTCAGCTGCTTTGAATCTCCTTTGTGGAGAGAAAAAGCGGGGTATAAATAAACATTAATATCATCATCATCGACCTGTATTTTTTGAAAGTCACTGGAAGAGCACATGGAAATGATGCTGGATTCATTGTAAACAGAAACTATACTTCAAGGAAACAATTTCTTTCCATTCAAATTATCTTTCTGTATTCCTTTGCTATTTATTATGCCTTTGGTATAAACCAACGTATCTCCCACAGCCAGCCCACTGTTTTTTCACAAAAAATGAATATCATTTCCTAATCGGTTCTATCATAAAAACATGGAAAAGCTTGGTTTTTGCAGGACATACTGCAGCACAGTTAGCTATATTTTTCAATGACTATCTCATAGAATCTCAACGAATTCAATATAGTTTATGACAGCCACAAAAATGAAGTTTCTGAAGTATAACATCAACTTTCAAAGTACCACACAATTAAATAGGAATAACACTTTCAAACCAGGAACATTTTTTTTCAAACTTTAGAATCATAGAATCATAGAATCAAAGAGTTGGAAGAGACCTCATGGGCCATCCAGTCCAACCCCCTGCCAAGAAGCAGGAATATTGCATTCAAATCACCCCTGACAGATGGCCATCCAGCCTCTGTTTAAAAGCTTCCAAAGAAGGAGCCTCCACCATACTCCGAGGCAGAGAGTTCCACTGCTGAACGGCTCTCACAGTCAGGAAGTTCTTCCTCATGTTCAGATGGAATCTCCTTTCTCTTGTAGTTTGAAGCCATTGTTTCACATCCTAGTCTCCAGGGAAGCAGAAAACAAGCTTGCTCCCTCCTCCCTGTGGCTTCCTCTCACATATTTATACATGGCAATCATGTCTTCTCTCAACCTTCTCTTCTGCAGCTATACGTCCCCAGCTTTTTAAGCCGCTCCTCATAGGCCATGGTCTCCAGACCTTTGATCATTTTAGTCACCCTCCTCTATACACCTTCCAGCTTGTCAATATATCTCTTAAATTGTGGTGCTCAAAATTGGACACAATATTCCAGGTGTGGTCTAACCAAAGCAGAATAGAGGGGTAGCATTACTTCCCTAGATCTAGACACTATGCTCCTATTGATGCAGGCCAAAATCCCATTGGCTTTTTTTGTTGCCACATCACATTGTTGGCTCATGTTTAACTTGTTGTCCACGAGGACTCCAAGATCTTTTTCACACGTACTGCTCTCAAGCCAGGCATCCCCCATTCTGTATCTTTGCATTTCATTTTTTTCTGCCAAAGTGGAGTATCTTGCATTTGTCACTGTTGAACTTCATTTTGTTAGTTTTGGCCCATCTCTCTAATCTGTCAAGATCGTTTTGAATCCTGCTCCTGTCCTCTGGAGTATTGGCTATCCCTCCCAATTTGGTGTCGTCTGCAAACTTGATGATCCTGCCTTCTAACCCTTCATCTAAGTCATTAATAAAGATGTTGAACAGGACCGGGCCCAGGACGGGACCCTTTGTTACATAGTGTAATACAAAGTATTCATTCAAAGCCACAAGAATGCATAAGACCAGGTGGCTAATCGGGGTGAGGACAGAGGTAGATCATACCATTAAAGAAAGGGTAAGGCAGAAGGAAAAGATGGTTAGAGAGAGCCTGCATTTCCATAAACAGTATTCAGCCATTGCTGACTTAGATTTCCAACACATACACAAATGACAAAATGAAATGCCCAAACAAAACCATCTCAACTATACCCTCATGCGAGCACCAAAATCTATGGATGTTGAAGTCTCATTACATATGCAAAATCAAGTTTTGCTTTTTGGATTTTTTGGGAATATTTTCAGGCCATAGATGATTAAATAAGTGGATGCAGAACATTTGTACTAAAATATAGCTGCTAACAAATTTATTTATTTATTTAACTTGTATACCGCTACTCCCTGCACTGCATCCTGTCAGATCCCCAGAATCTGGAGGAAAGCAAGAGTCACTGCCATCTTGAAGCGAGGCAAAGACCGTAATGATCCAAAAAGCTACAGACCAATCTCCCTGTTGTGCCACCTCTACAAAGTTCTGGAGAGACTTATTTTGCATAGAATTATGGAAAAAATAGACCCATGTCTGATTCCACAGCAAGCTGGCTTCAGGAAAGGCAAAAGCTGCACATCGCAAGTGCTGAACCTGACTCAGCACATAGATGGCTTTGAAAGGCAGCAGATCACAGGAGCTGTCTTCATAGACCTGTCAGCGGCTTATGATACTGTGAACCACTGCCTCCTCCTGAGAAAAATGTATAATATCACAAAGGACTACCATCTCACCCATCTCATAGGAAACCTGCTACAAAACAGGAGCTTTTTTGTTGAGTTCCAGGGCCAGAGAAGCAGATGGCGGAAACAGAAGAATGGCTTGCCTCAGGGGAGCGTGCTCGCTCCATCCATGTTCACCAAATGACCAGCCACTGCCAGAAGGGACAGAGAGTTTCATCTATGCTGATGATCGTGCCATTACCGCTCAAGCAGGGAGCTTTGAGATGGTTGAACAGAATCTCTCCGAAGCTCTAGGTGCTCTTACTGCCTATTACAGGGAAAACCAACTGATCCCTAAGCCATCTAAAACACAGACATGTGCCTTTCACCTTAAGAACAGACAAGCATCCCAAGCTCTGAGGATTACCTGGGAAGGAATCCCACTGGAGCATTGCAGCACACCCAGATACCTGGGAGTCACTCTGGACCTGTGCTCTGACCTACAAGAAGCACTGCCTGAACAAGCAAAAAGTGGGTGCTAGAAACAATATCATAGAAAGCTGACTGGCACAACCTGGGGATCACAACCAGATACAGTGAAGACATCTGCCCTTGCGCTATGCTACTCTGCTGCTGAGTACGCATGCCGAGTGTGGAACACATCTCACCACACTAAAACAGTGGATGTGGCTCTTAATGAGACATGCCGCATTATCACGGGGTGTCTGCGCCCTACACCACTGGAGAAATTACACTGCTTAGCCGGTATTGCACCACCTGACATCCGTTGGGAAGTAGCAGCCAATAGTGAAAGGACCAAGGCAGAGACATCTCCAGCTCATCCCCTGTTTGGGTATCAGCCAGCACGTCAACGACTTAAATCAAGAAATAGTTTTCTAAGATCTACAGAGACACTCGCTGGAACACCTCAGCAAGCGAGAGTCCAAAAGTGGCAGGCTCAAACCCAGAACCTCAATCCATGGGTTATACCAGATGAGAGACTCCCCCCTGGGCACACAGAAGACTGGGCGACTTGGAAGGCGCTGAACAGACTGCACTCTGGCACCACGAGATGCAGAGCCAATCAAGAAATGGGGCCACAAAGTTGAATCCACGACATGCGAGTGTGGAGAAGAGCAAACCACAGACCATCTGCTGCAATGCAACCTGAGCCCTGCCACATGCACAATGGAGGACCTTATTGTGGCAACACCAGAGGCACTCCAAGTGGCCAGATACTGGTCAAAGGACATTTAATCAGCTACCTGTTTTGTTCTGTTAGAAATGTAATACAATGTTCTGGTTGCGGATGACACGATAAATAAAACCGCTACTCCCAATTTGGCTTGGAGCGGTTTACAGAAGCAGATTAAAACAATATGATTAGCTTTAAAATAACAATAACAAAACAATATGCTTCTGTCTCCCTACTTTTTTGGTTATACACTGCACACTCCCTTATAGAACTCTACTACACCCACATAATTTAATGTTTGTCAGAACTTTAGATCAAAGCATGCAGTTCTGCATCTGACAAAGTTCCAAAAAGCATGTTTAAATTGTTGAATTATTTGTGGAGCTCTGAATTCAAGCAGTAGCAACTCCCAAAATGGATTGGTGAATTTCCACAATGATCCTGGTACCTACTAACACCAGAGGGTGCAGTTGAGCTGCTGGGTCCTTCATCCAGTCATCATTCGCGAGCTCTATGGTGGCGTCAACATGTTTAACTTCAGTGCAGAGTAAATGCATCACAGTCTTTTCATCCTCCACTTCTAGGGCATTCTTTAATTTGGCCACTAAATCTGAGTTGACCGGATGATCTGGGATACAGTCAAAACCAGACTTCCTGAGCACTTTGCGGTTTGGAACCATTTTTTTCAGGCTGAATGTGCAGTCATCTGGCTGTAAATGAGAAGTGTTGCTTGGTTTGGCTAAAAATAGCTCAAGCTCCTCTTTCACCCCTGGGATTATAAGAGGAGAGGGGAATGTGGAGAGAGCTACTGAGAAGCATCAGAACTCAGTTCATGGACTCATGGAGTTAGAAGAGACCCCGAGGGCCATCTGGTCCAGCCCCCTTGCTATGTAGGAACACACAACATTCCCAGCAGATGGCCATACTGGGTGTTGGTCTAAGACCATTGTGACAATAGTTGCCGATGAGTTATCTGGGTGAAATGGTTCTCCGATTATGGAGTTGTCCGATCCATCTGAATGGGACAATGGGAAGCTGGGCTGTGGGAATGAGCGTTTAAATCACCTTAGACAGGATTTATTATGTCTCTGAGTACACATTCTAATCTCTTGTGCTCAGCTGAAGTGGAGGAAGTTCTTATGACTTATTTGGTGATCTGTGCTCACTGTGCTGTTAGTGAATGGGAGAGAAACCAGAAGAGGCTTCCCAGTGAGAGTTTCCTGTTTCTGATATCAAGCAGGGGCATTGGGAAATCATCCATTTGAATAATTTATTTATTTTGTCATAAATCAATACGTTTGTTATACATGATTTGTTTTACCACAGATACATAATATTCACTACAATCTACTATACATTAACTTTTGGCATCTACTGTTATTTTAATGCTTATACATATTTTCTGTCCCTCACCACTGTGCTCCCCTCCTCCCGAGCCACTGCTTTTATATATCATCTGTCCAAAATTTCATTTCCTCTTGTGGATGTAACTTTCTGTCTTTCTTTATGAATCCCTTTTTAATAAATTTTCTCCATACATCATCAAAATCACTTTGTTTCCATATCCCTCTTTTAACTTCTAATTTACATGTCAGCTTATCATTTATTGCCAATTTCCATACTTCCTTATACCACTCCTCTATTTGTATATTTATTTCTCTTTTCCAGTTCCTTGCTATTGTTAATAAGTTTGTTATCACATCTTTATCCTCTTTTTTCAGCTGTTTATTATTATATAATGATAATATAGCTATACTAGGACTTCTTTCTATTTTAATGTTCATTATGTCCTCTATTTCTGTAAATACTTTCCCACAAAAATTACTTTCATATTTACACTGCCACCACATATGTATATATGTTCTGAATTCTTGGCATCCTCTCCAGCAATTTTTTGAATAGTTTTTATTTATATTTGCTATTCTTATTGGTGTTAGGTCCCATTTCCATATTGACTTATAATAATTTTCTTTAACCCGTATTGATAAATGTTTCAAATAGTCTCGTCTCCATAATAGTCCTAAATCTTCTTCCCAGATCTCCTTGAGGGTGTTATTCTTTATTTTTCCTTGGTTTATTTCAATTATTATCTTATACACTTTATTAGTTATTCCTTTCAAATTTTTATGTTCCTCTATATCCCTTCAATTTTGTATTATTTGTTCTACTTGATTAAGCTTACTTCAATTTTTTTATTATTTTTACCCAATTTTTGAACCATTGTTTTAATTGTAAGCAATGGAACCATACACATTTTATGTCTCTAAATTCTTCCGTAATAATTTCTTTCTTCATTCCAACCTTTATCTAATCCCCTATTTTGTCTACGTTTGTGCCCTTAACGTTTTATCCATTATATATATATATATATGTTGTTGTTCATTCGTTCAGTCGTCGCCGACTCTTCGTGACCTCATGGACCAGTCCACGCCAGAGCTCCCTGTCGGCCGTCACCACCCCCAGCTCCTTCAAGGTCAGTCCAGTCACTTCAAGGAAGTCACCAGTTGCATTAAAGCCTGGATTCATTTGTTTAACTTTCTGAAGACAAGAGAAGTTTCTGTTTGATTGTTCATTAATAAAGGACTTTGTTATACTTCACAAGCCATCTAAAGATCATTTGTGGTGGAAAACCTCTGAGGACTTTTCCTTGGGCCCCCTGGCTTCCCGCTGGGCAAAGGTTTTACGTCCTGTTCTAAAGGAAATACTTTACAGGCCCAGCGCGCGACAGAACACTGGTTATAGTTATTTAACGATGGTCCAGCTTGTCTATAGGCCATATATGAATGTTTAAGGCTGTGCTAGAAATGACTTTTTTTGCACAATACATTAAAAAGCTGTTTCTGGCAGAGTTAATTGTGTTTTCTGTACAAAATATAGATTGTTAGGAACCAACTATATCATAAAGAAAGCACACACAAATAATTTCCACCTTGTTGTTGTTCATTTGTTCAGTCGTCTCCGACTCTTCGTGACCTCATGGACCAGCCCACGCCAGAGCTCCCTGTCGGCTGTCACCACCCCCAGCTCCTTCAAGGTCAGTCCAGTCACTTCAAGGATGCCATCCATCCATCTTGCCTTGGTCGGCCCCTCTTCCTTTTGCCTATTTTCCCCAGCATAATTGTCTTCTCTAAGCTTTCTGTCTTCTCATGATGTGGCCAAAGTACTTCATCTTTGCCTCTAATATCCTTCCCTCAATGAGCAGTCGGGCTTTATTTCCTGGAGTATGGACTGGTTGGATCTTCTCGGAGTCCAAGGCACTCTCAGAACTTTCTTCCAGCACCACAGTTCAAAGCATCTATCTTCCTTTGCTCAGCCTTCCCTATGGTCCAGCTCTCACATCCGTAGGTGACTATGGGGAATACCATTGCTTTAACTATGTGGGTCTTTGTTGCCAGTGTGATGTCTCTACTCTTCACTATTTTATCGAGATTGGACATTGCTCTCCTCCCAAGAAGTAAGCGTCTTCTGATTTCCTGGCCACAGTCTGCATCTGCAGTAATCTTTGCACCTAGAAATACAAAGTCTGTCACGGCCTCCACGTTTTCTCCCTCTATTTCCCAGTTGTCAGTCATTCTTGTTGCCATAATCTTGGTTTTTTTGATGTTTAGCTGCAACCCAGCTTTTGCGCTTTCTTCTTTCACCTTGATTAGAAGGCTCCTCAGCTCCTCCTCGCTTTCGGCCATCAAAGTGGTGTCATCTGCATATCTAAGGTTGTTAATGTTTCTTCCAGCAATTTTCACCCCAGTCTTGCATTCCTCAAGCCCCGCACATCGCATGATGTGTTCTGCATACAAGTTAAAAAGGTTGGGTGAGAGTATGCAGCCTTGCCGTACGCCTTTCTCAATCTTGAACCAGTCTGTCGTTCTGTGGTCAGTTCTTACTGTTGCTACTTGGTCCTTGCACACACACACACACACACACACACACATACACACACACATATATATTAAAAAAATTCTTTTCCAATGTAATTGGGGTTATTATTGAACCATCCGCTATTAACTTTATCTTGTATTTGTTCCATACTTCGAATACATTACTCAACATTGGGTTACTAATTTTTGTAATTTCTTTTCTCGTAAACTCTTTAAAAATTCCATCCATTTGAGTCCCTGAAAGCAGGGACTTTCCATCCATTTGAGTCCCTGAAAGCAGATCCAATTTGTGGATCTGTGTTTTTGGATAACAGTATTACTGTATCCTTGGTTCTGAGATTTGCCATGTTAACCATTGCAAGTCTTAAAGCCTTAGGGTGGTGAGGGAGGGTGGGATGGGTGGCTGATGATGTTATACTGAATGTTCATTTGATCCTTCCTTATTACAGCTCCTTCGGATGGGATCTCATCTAAAGGGGCAGCCCGAGGAACCTCCAGGATCCCATCCATAATTGATCATACTTGTTCCGTCTCCCAGGAGTTTGGTTTGCATTGCCCCATAGTTGTAGGAAATAGCATCTCTTTTGCATTTTTTCCAGAATTGTTACAGACTCAGCAACATCAGCCTCAGATACGTACTGTTGTAACCTGTCAAGAGTAATGCTTGTGACCAAAATGGCAAATGGAAAAGATTGTGTACAGCATTCACTGTGGGACACTTGGAAAAACGTGTGCACAGCTTTCCTCAGTCATCTTTTTGGTGTGTTTTTTTCCCTTTCCTTTTCTTCTCTCTCTTGGTACTTTTCCCAGTGTGATTTCAAAGTGAATCTTAGTATGTAGAAGACAGATTCACTTCACACCTGGCCACAGCTAAGCAGGAAAACCAGCCTTCTTCTCACTACCTTTGTCTCCAAGACAAAGTGCAGCATAGCACTGAGTAAGTTTCACTTGAAAGTCCCCCTGTACAGACAGCGGAGCTAGATGGGGATGGAGACCGGGGAGAGCAGAGGCATATGCTTGCCCTAATGGAGGAGATTAGAAGTGTCATGCAGAGGAATGAGAATAAAGGCCTTGATGTGGGACCCTCCCACTTCAGATGGGAGACTGCACAGCTCTGAACAAACTGTGTGATGTCTCCGTGAAATGTAACCTTCATGTAGCATCAGTTGAGAAACAGCTGCGCCAAATGAATAATTTTGACTGGCTTCTTTGAAGAGTTACCCCAAACAGGGACACCCCCCCCCCATTTTTAAGAACAACTTAACACACAACTAATTTTACCCCCATCACTGTACTTATAAATAGCTGTAAGTGGTTTGCGGATTGGATTGCTTTGTTCCACAGGAGTAAAACTCTTCATGGTGCCAAAGCATATCGGAGGGAGAGAGGAGGGGCATGTTTTTTAAAAAACATTTTAAAAAAACATTGACATCAAATTTTAATAGTAATTTGCTATACAGCCAGTCTCCAAGTTACAAACAAGACGGGTTCTGTAGGTTTGTTCTTAAGTTGAATTTGAACACAAGTCAAAACAGGTACATATTTTAAGTGTAGCTCCAGATATATATAAGGGCCCCCTGGTGGCACAGAGGGTTAAACCACTGAGCTGCTGAACTTATTATTTATTTATTATTTAAACTTATATGCTGCCACTCCCCTGGGGCTCGGAGCGGCTTACAAGAATAGCTAAAATCTAACAAAATTTAGAGCCCCCGGTGGCACAGTGGGTTAAAGCACTGAGCTGCTGAGCTTGTTGATCGAAAGGTCGCAGGTTCGATTCCGGGGAGCGGCGTGAGCTTCCGCTGTCAGCCCTAGCTTCTG